CATCAGCAGCAGCATCATCATCAGCAGCATCATCATCAGCAGCATCATCAGCAGCAGCATCATCAGTAGCAGTATCGTCAGCATCATCATCAGCATCATCAGTAGCATCATCATCATCAGCATCATCATGAGTAGCATCATCAGCAGCATAATCATCAGCATCATCAGCATCATCATCAGCATCATCAGCATCATCAGCAGCATCATCATCATCAGCATCATCAGTAGCAGTATCATCAGCAGCATCAGCATCATCAGTAGCAGTATCATCAGCATCATCAGCATCATCAGTAGCATCATCATCATCAGCATCATCATCATCAGCATCATCATCAGCAGCATCATCAGTAGCAGTATCATCAGCATCAGCAGCAGCAGCATCATCATTAGCATCATCAGTAGCAGTAGCATCATCAGCAGCAGCATCATCATCATGATCACCGGTAGCATCATCATCAGTAGCATCATCATCATCATCAGCAGCATCATCATCATCAGCATGATCAGCAGTAGCAGCATCATCATCAGCATCATCATCATCAGTAGCAGCATTATCAGCATCAGCATCATCAGCAGCATCATCATCAGCATCATCAGTAGCAGTAGCATCATCAGCAGCAGCATCATCATCATGATCACCGGTAGCATCATCATCAGTAGCATCATCAGCAGCAGCAGCATCATCATCATCAGTAGCATCATCAGCATCATCATCGTCATCAGCAGCAGTAGCATCATCATCGTCATCAGTAGCAGTAGCATCATCATCAGCATCATCATCATCAGCATCATCAGCAGCATCATCAGTAGCATCATCAGCATCATCAGCAGCAGCATCATCATCAGTAGCATCATCATCATCAACATCATCATCAGTAGCATCATCATCAGCAACATCATCATCAGAAGCAGCATCACCATCATCAGTAATGGAATGATGATGTTGCTGATGTTGATGATGGTGATGATGATGGTGATGATGATGGTGATGATGTTGATGATGATGATGGTGATGATGATGATGTTGATGATGATGGTGAAGATGGTGATGATGGTGATGATGTTGGTGATGATGGTGATGATGATGGTGATGATGACGTTTATTATGATGATGGTGATGATGGTGGTCGTGATGATGGTGATGATGGTGAAGATAGTGATGATGGTGATGATGATGGTGATGATGATGATGGTGATGATGATGGTGATGATGATGGTGATGATGATGGTGATGATGATGATGGTGATGATGGTGAAGATAGTGATGATGGTGATGATGATGGTGGTGATGATGGTGATGATGGTGAAGATAGTGATGATGGTGGTGATCATGGTGATGATGATGGTGGTGATGATGATGGTGATGATGATGTTGATGATGATGATGATGTTGATGATGATGTTGATGATGATGGTGATGTTGATGATGATGGTGATGATGGTGATGATGATGATGATGATGGTGATGTTGATGATGATGGTGGTGGTGGTGGTGGTGATGGTGATGATGATGATGGTGATGATGATGATGATGTTGATGATGATGTTGATGATGATGATAATGTTGATGATGGTGATGATGATGTTGATGATGGTGGTGATGATGATGATGGTGATGATGATGTTGATGATGATGGTGATGATAATGGTGACGATGATGATGGTGATGATGATGATGGTGATGATGATGTTGATGGTGATGATGATGGTGATGATGATGATGTTGATGGTGATGATGGTGATGATGATGGTGATGATGGTGATGATGATGGTGATGATGATGATGGTGATGATGATGGTGATGATGATGGTGATGATGGTGATGATGATGATGTTGATGGTGATGATGATGTTGATGGTGATGATGATGGTGATGATGTTGATGGTGATGATGATGTTGATAATGATGGTGATGATGATGATGGTGATGATGATGGTGATGATGATGGTGATGATGATGGTGATGATGATGATGGTGATGATGGTGAAGATAGTGATGATGGTGATGATGATGGTGGTGATGATGGTGATGATGGTGAAGATAGTGATGATGGTGGTGATCATGGTGATGATGATGGTGGTGGTGGTGGTGATGATGATGATGATGGTGATGATGGTGATGTTGATGATGATGGTGATGATGATGGTGATGATGATGGTGATGTTGATGGTGATGGTGGTGATGTTGATGATGATGGTGATGATGATGATGAAGGTGATGATGATGTTGATGGTGATGATGATGGTGATGATGATGAAGGTGATGTTGATGATGATGGTGATGATGATGATGTTGATGGTGATGATGATGGTGATGATGAAGGTGATCATGATGAAGGTGATGATGATGGTGATGATGTTGATGGTGATGATGATGGTGATGATGGTGATGATGATGGTGATGATGATGTTGATGATGATGATGATGTTGATGATGATGTTGATGATGATGGTGATGTTGATGATGATGGTGATGATGGTGATGATGATGGTGATGATGATGGTGGTGGTGGTGGTGATGGTGATGATGATGATGGTGATGATGATGATGATGTTGATGATGATGTTGATGATGATGATAATGTTGATGATGGTGATGATGATGTTGATGATGGTGGTGATGATGATGATGGTGATGATGATGTTGATGATGATGGTGATGATAATGGTGACGATGATGATGGTGATGATGATGGTGATGATGATGTTGATGGTGATGATGATGGTGATGATGATGATGTTGATGGTGATGATGGTGATGATGATGGTGATGATGATGATGGTGATGATGATGGTGATGATGATGGTGATGATGGTGATGATGATGATGATGTTGATGGTGATGATGATGTTGATGGTGATGATGATGGTGATGATGTTGATGGTGATGATGATGTTGATAATGATGGTGATGATGATGATGATGTTGATGACGATGTTGATGATAATATTGATGATTATGGTGATGGTGATGATGGTGATGATGATGGTGATGATGGTGACGATGATGATGGTGATGATGATGGTGATGATGATGTTGATGTTGATGATGGTGGTGATGATGGTGATGATGATGATGGTGATGATGATGGTGATGATGATGTTGTATGATGGTGACGATGATGATCATGGTGATGATGGTGATGATGTTGATGGTGACCATAATGATGATGGTGATGATGATGTTGATGATGATGTTGATGATGGTGGTGAAGATGGTGATGATGATGATGGTGATGATGATGGTGATGATGATGTTGATGATGATGGTGATGATGATGGTGATGATGATGGTGATGATGATGTTGGTGATGATGGTGATGATGGTGATGGTGATGTTGATGATGGTGATGTTGATGATGGTGATGATGTTGGTGATGATGATGGTGATGATGATGGTGATGACGATGGTGATGGTGGTGATGATGGTGATGATGATGGTGATGTTGATGGTGATGATGGTGACGATGATGATGATGATGATGATGTTGATTATGGTGATGGTGATGATGATGATGTTGATTATGGTGATGATGGTGATGATGATGATGGTGACGATGATGATGATGGTGACGATGGTTACGATGGTGACGATGATGATGATGTTGATGATGTTGATGATGATGTTGATGTTGTAGATAGATATTACCTGGAATAGTTCCTGGGACGTATCCCATCGCTCCCATCACCATCACCGCCATCACCACCATCATTGGCCTTGTGGGATAGTTCATTATGACACACACCCTCCTACACACAGACACACACACACAAGAGACAAAGATCCCCCATATAGCCTTAACAGACTGTAGGGGCAAGTGCTGTTAGCGAGCACCTATCAAGGCCAGAACGGTACACGAGGGGGTGGGTGGCCAGCACCACGCCCGACCGCCTTTGTCTCCCTAGTGGCAATGTTTACACACCGCACCAGGTACTCATTTGAGGCTGAGTTGACCTAGGGGAGGCCCGGGACCGGTTCAGATAATCGTCACTGGTGTTGGCCGTGAGCGGGAATCGAACCTGGGTCGCCAGGTTCATAGCGCAGCGTAGCGCTAACCGCTACACTACCGCTCCCCACCACACACACAGACACACACACACAGACACACACAGACACACACATAGACAAAGCTTCCCCGTGTAGCCCACACTCACACAGGACTGTAGGGGCAAGTGCTGATAGCACTCACCCACTCACTCACTTAGCCACCCACTCACTCACTCAGCCACTCACTCACTCACTCAGCCACTCACTCACTCACCCATTCACTCACCCACTCACTCACCCTCTCAACCTCCCACTCACTCACTCACCCACTCACTCACTCAGCCACTCACCCACTCACTCAGTCAGCCACTCACCCACTCACTCACCCACTCACTCACTCACCCACTCACCCACCCACTCACTCACCCACTCACCCACTCACTCACCCACTCACTCACCCTCTCAATCTCCCACTCACTCACCCACTCACTCACCCACTCACTCACACACTCGCCAACTCACTCACCCACTCACTCACCCACCCACTCACCCACTCACTCACCCACCCCCCACTAACTCCTCCACGAGGCCGAATGGTTCAGCATTGACGGATGGAGGCTGTGGTGAGCCTCAGGGCCTGGGTGCTTGTTGAGGCGTCACTAACACGTCACTAACTCGTCACTAACACGTCACTAACACGTCACTAACTCGTCACTAACTCGTCACTAACACGTCACTAACTCGTCACTAATTCGTCACTAACTCCTCACTAACACGTCACTAACACGTCACTAACACGTCACTAACTCGTCACTAACACGTCATTAACACGTCACTAACTCGTCACTAACACGTCACTAACTCGTCACTAACTCGTCACTAACTCGTCATTAACACGTCACTAACTCGTCACTAACTCGTCACTAACTCGTCACTAACACGTCATTAACTCGTCACTAACACGTCACTAACACGTCACTAACTCGTCACTAACACGTCATTAACACGTCAC